CCCTTTAGTCGCCTCTTACTACTGAAGTTGGTAATAATAGTGACATGTTTTAAGCTATCGATGGGAATAAAAATCCTATCGTCTTAAATCTGAATAAGATTGCATCGGTAGTCACAAATACAATGTTTTCTCACTTTCTTCACTTTTACAGATTGTTGTTTAATCTCTAAAGGACTTTTTATAGAACCTCATCTAGAACTTGATGTGTCAAGATTTTTTTATATTTCAAACACATCAATCATGTCAATGAAAAGTTATGTCATAGGTAAAATAAAATATGTCTGATTCAGAGTAGATATTTAAATAACAGTAAACGGAATTGACTGATTTCCTAAATCCAAGAGTCTTCCGTAAAATTGGGTTCGAAATAATCATAAAAACTGCATTATCTCAGCAGTATTGTATTTTGCATTTAAAAGACCTAGGCTCCGTTACACAGAGCGATCTTAGGACTACGATGACCTTAAGCCAGTGTTGAAGTATGGGAGTTAGGATCACCTTAGCACTGAGATTGCTTTGGGGAGCCATCCCAGATGAACATGAACTGGAACGTCCTTCATAGAGGCTCAGTGGAATCTGGTGAGGTGAGTTTTTTCATTCTGGGTTGTTCTCATTTAATAGTGTGGACAAATGTAGCATTCATTGAGATGGAACTAGCAAGCAGCACTAGTAGTCTTCAACATTCCACTAGTCGTTTGAAATCTTTACCAGCCACTAGCAGGCTGACCAGCTTTCCTTACCAATGTAAAGGTAAGTGCTGTAAACCAAGGGTGAAAAGGGTTTGGTCTGTGGACAGTTTTTTCTCCTACAGGACTCCCCCTTCAGATCCATCCTCTACCCTCCAACAATTACCCCCTCTACCTTCCTACACATCTTCTTCACCCTAAGCCCCCGTCCACCCTCCCTCTCCTTAAGGCCCCCTCCACCCTTCAACACCAATCCCCCTCCACCCATCACAACCCCTCCAGCAGTTACCCCAAACACCCACCCTCGTAAAGGTTCCCCTCCACCCTCCCACATGTCCCCTCCACCCTCCTAAAGGTAGGCCGACCCACATGGCCTCCTTCCACCCTTCTAAAGCCCCCCCCCCCCCCCCCTACTGCAAGGGGTGGTGGTACACAGGGAGGTCTGTATTGTCACCACTGCAGGGCTCCCCCCAGCTCCTCGTCCCCACAGCTGCTGCAAGCCTCTGCTTTGAGAGAGAGATGCCGCCATAAGCCATCTGGACCTAACCAGCCACCGAGATACACATCACCATGGTAACAATACACATTATTGGTTTTGAGAACTTCCTGTGACAACGGTGTGGTGGGCTGGTAAACACATCTGGATAGTGAGGGGTCGTGTTTCCCCAACACAGACTCCCAAATATGACCTGTCTACTGCTATGGCAACCAAATAACACATTTCACCAGGAGATATGCGGAAGGATGTTTTTTGTTAAGTTGGGCAAGATACTTGGCTCAGAGTACTGACGACGGTGTATGAATTTCATGCACTCTGCTCCGGTACAAAGCAAAGTGAGCGCGCGTTGTGTTAGAATAATAGAGGAATATTGAATGAGCTGGAGTCTGCCGATGAAGGCAGGGAAGGATGAATTGACCCGAAGTGGCAGATCTCGTCACACTTGACTGACCACTGGTGTGACAAAACATTTACAACTATCTCCTTTTCACACCATCTGTGGGAGGCGACATGGCCTCTAAATAGACAACATGGCCTCTATATAGACAACATGGCCTCCATATAGCCTTCATATAGACAAAATAGCATCCAAATAGACCTGTACTGTCAGACAACATGGCCTCCATATAGACAACATGGCCTCCATATAGACCTGTACTGTCAGACAACATGGCCTCCAAATAGACCTGTACTGTCAGACAACATGGCCTCCAAATAGACCTGTACTGTCAGACAACATGGCCTCCAAATAGACCTGTACTGTCAGACAACATGGCCTCCAAGTAGACCTGTACTGTCAGACAACATGGCCTCCAAATAGACCTGTACTGTCAGACAACATGGCCTCCATATAGACCTGTACTGTCAGACAACATGGCGTCCAAATAGACCTGTACTGTCAGACAACATGGCGTCCAAATAGACCTGTACTGTCAGACAACATGGCCTCCATATAGACCTGTACTGTCAGACAACATGGCGTCCAAATAGACCTGTACTGTCAGACAACATGGCCTCCAAATAGACCTGTACTGTCAGACAACATGGCCTCCATATAGACCTGTACTGTCAGACATGTCCTCCATCTGTCTGCTACTTGACTTTCAGTCAGGTGAATTAAAATATTGGACCATGCACTATGTTATCATAAATTGAAACACTGTATATTAAATAAATTCAAAGAGAAAATAAACTAGAGAATATGCTCTAGTATTTTATTATGGGGAAATCTGTATATGGCTTTTCACATCTTGATGTCCAGTAAACAACTTTAACAGAAGTTTCAAGTGTCTGTCTTATGATTGTAACCACATGAGTGACTGTTCTAGTGGTAATTGTTAAGAATGAGTTATTCCGAGTTCACTGCATTCAGACCACCTGTGTATTTCTCTATTTTCAGACCCGTAAAATAGGCCTTCAACAGCCCATTCTCGCCGTAAAAGGCAACTACGCTTGTCATAAGAGGTGACTTAAGGGATCAGGCTCACTGACTTGGTTGATGCATGTCATCGTATTCCAATTGCGTGGATCGATGCTCATGATGTCAATCACTGGATTGTCTAGTCCAGACTTGATTCTTACAGACTGCCGTCACATAGCTGGAATATTGCTGAGTGAGGCGTTAAACCATTAAACAAACAAACACTATTTTCAAGAACTTTTGTTTCCTGGATTCTAAAAGATTTGCAGCCAGTTCTAAAGGAATTCAGTTTTTCACTGTTATCAAATATAACTGCTGCTGTTTACTTGCAGGGGGAAATATTACCTGGCTGCACTGGCTGCACTGGGTGCAGCCCGACAATAAAAGTAACCTGCACTAGCAATGTTTTACCTGCAAGGTGCAGCTTGGATATAGCGAAATCCATCCCTGATATGTATCTATATTTATGCTTGTTAATGGCTCGCATAATACAACTGTTGTTTCTAATATACATTTAAGATATGGATACACCCTCAGCTAATAACCTCTAATAAAAGTATAAAGGTTGCGATACCTTACACAAATTGACAATATGAAATGTGAAAACTTGTCATGCTAGAGATACATTACAGGAATGAATGAAACCCAACAAAACCGTTTTAGAAGATTTTTTAGTTAATTAATGTAAATATGCCTCAAGAACTTTCATATAGACTGGCAGAAAACAGTATTTATAAACAATTTTTGTTTAAAGTTACATCAATACACCTCATGTATGTACCGCAACAACTTGCGCAGAATCGTTACACCCCTAAATGTAAAACTATTAATAGCCATTGAAGAAGTTTCATATCCATGTTAAGGCCAACTGTTTGATATAAAACTGTTAAAAATACACATTGTCTGCCACAAAAATTATATTGTTGCAAGATGGTGTGTTTTTTTTAAATATCTGAGCTCTTACTTTAATAAAAGAAAAATATCTAGTCTCCTATAAAATCTCCGGCCCCATACCAATATCAAATGTCTGTCCCTTAGAAGCTTCATTTTGTACTTCATGCCACTGACTTTCAAGTAGTGCTGGCCATCAATATAGATTATAGAGATCAATAATTGCCATCTACATATTGATTAATTAACGATAAATATCGGACTAGTAACTTAAAGCAAATAAGCAAGGAAATCTTGAAAGAAATCAACATTTTTCTCATCTCGGTTGAGCAGTGACACATATTTATTTCATCACAATATTTTATGTAAGTTATTATCAATGACAATTTTATATCGATAATCGTTAATATTTCACCCATTGACGATGATTCTGACTATCAATATGTTTAGCGAGCTCTACCAACAAAGGCATGGAAAAACTTGAGATGGTGGTTTGTCTCAAAGCCAATATCATCCCCAATGGATGCACAAACATTATGTATTACTGATTAAAGTTGTCATAAAGTACCCATGGAAGCAAATCCTCACAGCTAAATTGTTGTATCTATAGGACTTGCAATATTTATACAGTACAGCGTTAGAAATTGACACTAGTCCTATAGTCCTTGCCAAACTACCAAATAGTTAATGGTTAAGGTATCATATAGACCAGAAGAAATTTTCCTTTTATTAGGGATGTTTACATATGTTATCATTATACATGTTATAAGGACAAGTGGACTGAAACTGTTAGTTTCTAACACTGCAGTAGTGGTAAGTTTGTGTCATTTACGTTATACCGCACGTACATCATATAAGATGGGTGTGCTGATATGAGGTCGTTTCATGACTCCAACAGGAGCCTGATTTCATTGTTATTGTTGCAAGTGGCATATGTGTGAGATCTCAAACCAGGAACTAACAAATACGGAACTTAATTTCAACCTTGACACCTATTTATGACAAAACAAGATCACGAAAAAAACACGACTGTAACATTCAGAAACACACCAGTTCCACAGAGTATGCTGCGATACACCCAGTAAATATTAGCTTCCATACTTTCATTTCCTTTTTAAAATGCATACCAAATGCCTTCCCTATTGAATATAATGTGTGAGGAACAACTTCAAGTCCTCTCAGATATCCTTTTCTTTAATTTAAGAAATATCAATAATGTCAATACAACTTGGAATAAAACTACTTGTGTCATTTCTGGTACATGAAACTTCACTTATTCCCACAGCACTATCAGTTCAGTGACTTCCAGGAAGCCATTACCTAGACACATTTGAATTGTTTTTGCTTTGGGCCATTAGAACTTTACATCAACAAGCCAATACAATGAGGGTTCCTATACGACCTGGGCAGAATAGTCAATAAAATATCTGAATTGTGTCCTGTAGAATTACACCAATCTTGGTCTAAGGCTCAACTAAATTAGAAAGAAGTGTTAACAGCTTACCATTTCGGCGTCTGACACAGCGGCGTCAGTAAGTGTAATAAGCGCAATCACTGATGCCATCTCAATATCAAGTATCCCTATTTCCCGGCGAGACCATTACAGCGCCGCAACAGGGACAAGATAGCACAAATCCTGTTAGTGGCAAATACTTTTACACATACCAGGCCGCAACACCATCTGGTTACCATGGCAACATGATGCCACTGCAGTAGAGCACAAAAACTTCAATTCCATGTCAATTTTTGATTGGAAGGAGTCCAGTGTAAATATTGTTGAAGACATCCAGTGCCCAGAATCCATAACTCTTTGTCTGTCGGGCTATTTGTCAGTCTCAACTCGCCATCAGTTGCCGTAAGCAGCAAAATAAACGAAAGGTTCTTCGCATTTGTTAATAGATGCTCGTGGTGGGGCTTGGATAAAGAGGGTAATTAAGCATATCCGAGCAAGTAGCATCCTGCATCATTGTACTTGCCTACTGCCTACAGCAGGCAGTAAGCTTGAACCGTTTCACTAATCAGGGTACAGGTAAATAAGAGACATCTTAATACAAACATATTTAATCATACATGATAACAAGGCAATTAATTTCAAAGACTTTATGATGATCTTAAACGACAAAAGCAAAGAGACATGATATATTCCATCAGTCCCAGTGGATTAGTCTAGTCAGTAGGATTAATAGCCTCACATCATTATTCAGGGAATGGATATGAACAATTGTTTTACAAAATGCTTTCATGTATTTCCTTAACGTTTCTTTTAACTATATGACAGAAAAAAAACCAAGAATTTCAAAATAATATCCTTGATTTTAATTTTAGAAAAGCCTTTTTTTTAGTTTTAATGGATTATTGTGGCCAATATGCCAAGCAGAAAAGAAGAAAGTTTCAAGAAATCGACTTATTTCAGGTTCCACAAAATGGTCATAGAAACACAAAGACAAAGATGTTAGAAAGACATTTTTCAATCCAGCATAGCACTTAACTTATTAAATATTAAGGGTAAACTCATCCGTGACACAAAAGAAAATAAATTGGTTCAGCTGAACAGAACTTTTTCTGGTAACACGACAACCACGTAAACTTGTTTGTTGTGATTCATGCTTCATAAACTGGCCTAAACAAATTGAAAACAAAAACAATAACACAACCACATGAAATTACTGACCTCATTCATGTCTATTAATCCATATTCCAACACGTCGAATGGTTACACAAACACCTTGAGCAGAGCAAGGCTACAAAATTTGTATTCTTGAGAATGAGGTTTCAAGGAAACAAGATCTATGACTGGCAACAGCTTTCCTTATGAATATCTATTCATATTCAAACAGGCAAACATATTAACAGTGTTAGAAATTAACAGTAGCCTGCTAGACCATGGCTAGTAAATGAGTGAAAGGGCTTGCGGAATCTGAAGGCAACTATAATCCTTAATAATCTTTTACAGTTATTCAATTCTCATCTTTAAGATTCAGATCTTTTGAGATTCACACACAGTAACATGTTGATGGTGCGGAAACAATATCCCATAAATTTGATTTGCTGAAATCCAGCACAACACTTAATTACTAAATTCAATGATATCATGGAGACAGGTGCTTATTCCCCTGCTTCTTTTTGAGAAAGGGAATCCCCAACGGAATTTAACAGGACTGATTCTCAAACTTTTTACAAGTACCTGTTGCAAATGTCTCAAGGCTCTGCAACTCACCTGAATAATTGCAGCATCATACATGAAATCAATTGACTTTTTCACATAACCGAAATGCTCACTCAGACTAAAGTACACACTGATTCCTCAACAGCCATTTGTGGGACAAGAATATATTTGTGAAGTTGTTGATATGATGACCATGCTGAAAATCATCCCAGGATTCTGCAGGCCCTTTTAATTATGCAAATGTTGGGACCAGTCCAGATCATGCACCCAATGTCAGTTAAGCTGGTTTTAGAAGAGTGAGTGAATGAGTATGGTTTTAGGCAGCTTTTAGCAATATTCCAGCAATATCATGGCGGGGGACACCAGAAATGGGCTTCACACATTGTACCCATGTTGGGAATCGAACCCGGGTCTTCGGCACGACGAGCGAATGCTTTAACCACTAGGCTACCCAACGGCCCCTGGTTAAGAAGATGTAAATAATGTGTTTAACAAAGAGTCATAGGTTTATGCATACTAAAGGACTATTTACTAGAGCTATTGGCCAAGTTATATCCTGTTTGGGTATCTCTCGGAGGCAAGGGAGTTAACTGACTATCAAAGTCCAGTTTCCACCCTTGCCGAACTACGCTGGAATTATGGAGCAATAATTTGACCAGACTATGCATAGTCCAATCAAAATCACGTAACAAAATCAACATCCGGTTTGTAAACTGCTGTGCAGATTTCTTTCATATAAAGGATTTGCAAAGCATGGGTTCCGACAACTTCGCGTCAACAGATATTTTCCAAATCTTGTCATGTTATTTATCATGGTGCTCACGTGATTTCATGCACTTCGTGAAGTAAGACCCATATTATAATTACAATATCGATCTTGATTATCGATCAGATTGTCTTCACTGGACGCCATCTAATTTGAAGATTATGCCAGTGATATAAGAGGTTGAATCTGAAGGGACACAACTCGCAATAGCCACAATCGAGCCCCGAATTTCCAGCGTAATTGGATAAGAGTGACTGGACTTTTACAGTCAGTTAACTCCCTTGCCTTGGGAAGATGACCCTGGGTGTTACATTGATTGGAAATTTAGTATTGGGATATCAACTCAAAACAATAACATGTATTAATGATACATCAGTAATAACATTTGTTATTTTGTATGTGTATAGTTTAAAGATTTCCTACATACACCTGCAATTAATTAATTTAATGCTGAATATGAACAAAGCTGATCAATTAATATTTTAAATTAACAATTTTTGCCTACTCATTGTCCATCTTATAAATGTTAACATTTGAGGCAGTGAATTATTAATTTAGTATCAATATTTGTAAATTTGTATCGATACAGCATCATCATTAATAATTTCCTGATACATCAATAGCACGATATGTTCAGACATCCAAGTCCATCTAACACAAAGACAACTTATCCATCACCGAGGTCACACTCATTAGATTTACAGGTTGTCTGTTATCTACAAGTTGGAGACTGTCTACATCGAATGATAACTGGATACCAAGCTCCCGATACAGCAGCCCTCTTGGACTCTTGGGGCCCCAGAACAGCCTATTATGCACTTATCACGCTATGTGATGGGGCCTTGTCATCTACACCTAAATGAAGTGAAATGGTCATAAACCTGTTGGTGTACTGAATATTTTATGTCCTTACTGCAATCAGCGTGTGATATCATTAGCATAATCACCATCACTACAGCCTTATATGCACCAGGGCTGTGTTTCAAAATCTACGCATGACGATGACATTCGGAAGCAACGTCCACCATGTTCGCACACCAATCATTTCATTATTGTATCGTTAAGTCAACATAACGAGATTGTGTCTCTGTGGCATTAGAGCAAGACCATGACTAAACTAAAACATGGTTGTTTGTTTGTTTGTTTAGTGCACTCAGCAACATTAAAGCTATATGACAGCAGTCTGTAAATAATTGAGTCTGGACCAGAGAATCCAGTGATTGACATGACCATCAATCTAAGCAATTGGGATACGATGAGATGCATCAACCATGTCAGTGAGTTTGTTGACAACCTTATGACAAGCATGAGTTCCTCAAGACCAATTCTAACCCCAATCTTCAGATAATTACAGAGGGGGGGAGGGAGGGGGGGGAGAGAGAGAGAAAGAGAGGTTTTGAGAGAAGAGAAAGATCAAGTGGAGACAAGCAAAGGTTGCTGAAGACCAGTAACTAAAACTTGTATGTATAGTTGCACTTGACATGTACAATTGCAAAATGTATTGGTAACTTGCTTTGTCTAGATATTTAAAATTTTCTCCAGAAGCCCAACCTGTTACTTTAGAAATAGGAAGGCCAAGAAGCATTTAATCTCTTAAGAAAACTATGCTGTTTCCATCACATCAAAATGTAACTATAAGAATACTTCTTGCATATTTAGTTCAAATAATAAAAGAAAAAATAACAAGAAATAAAACCTTAAAATTCCTTTCTTTCTTTTTAACTCTGACCTCAATTATTATTCCTGTAAAAGGTGCATCCGAAGTCTCATTCTTAATTACAATCCCAACTCCCTAGACTTAAGTACCATGATGACAATCCCCAAGATTCCCTTTTCGAAGACTAATAAGAGCAGGAGACATTTAAAAATACTTCTAGGACAGTTTCTATTCCAAAGTATAATGATTTTTATACTAAGTAAATCTGTCAAATCAAAGATTGTTTATGAAACAGAAGGAAATACAATCGTTCTGTCAATTATAGATTAGTTTCTACAAACACCATGAGTTACTTCGTAATGTCCCCCCCTGGACAATACTGGCAGACAGGGTTAGTCCAAGCTTAACTCTCCAAACATTCCGACACGACTAACGGCTTCTACCAGTACAACTGTTTGATCAAAAGGTAGGACTGACTAGCCACAGAAGCAGGCCTTTTATGAGGGGCTCTCCTGGAACACTTAGTATTGTATTCTTGGAAATATAGAGAAATTAGGCATAGACAAACATATATCCTTTAATTCCATAGGGTTATCTGTAAGATTTGTTTCTTTGTTTGTTGTTTAACGTCACACTCAGCAATATTCCAGCTATATGATGGCAGTCTGTAAATAATCAAGTCTAGACCAGACAATCCAGTGATTTATTTGTAGTGAGTGAGTATGGTTTTACACCGCTTTTAGCAATATTCCAGCAATATCACGGCAGGGGACACCAGAAATGGGCTTCACACATTGTACCCATGTTGGGAATCGAACCCGGGTCATCGGCATGACGAGCGAACGCTTTAACCACTAGGCTACCTGCCCGCCCCGATTTATTTGTAAGAAGGAGAGGAGGAATTTAGTAGTGGTACCTGTTTCCTTAGTACTGGTTACTCTCTGTGACATAAAACACTATCACAACAGGCTGTTATATGCCAGTACTGATGTTTCAAATGATAATCGAGATAAATATCAAAGAAACAAAATCAAGAGACTGCTTCTTCATCAGAGTGAGTGAGTGAGTGAGTATGGTTTTACGCCGCTTTTAGCAATATTCCAGCAATATCACGGCGGGGGACACCAGAAATGGGCTTCACACAATGTACCCACGTCGGGAATCGAACCCGGGTCTTCGGCGTCACAAGCGAACGCTTTAACAACTAGGCTCCCCGACCGCCCCTCTTCATCAGACGTAGCTGGGGCTACT